GCTATAATTTAAAATATTAATGTAATATAATTTTATGTCATTAATCATAATCTAATTGAAAGTTTAATAAATTACGAAATACTAATTTTTATAATTGACTGGTTTATAAAATTAATAATAAAATATAAAATTAATAATAAAATTAATAATACTGGTTTATAAAATTAATAATTAGAAAATGAAAAAAATATACGTCTATATTACGTATATTGAAAATAATATTTCTCTCAAAATATTCATTATGTAAACTTTACGCCAAGTTTTGAAAAAAACAGCTATCGAAATAATGCTAGATTTTGCATTGAATATACATGTAATATTAAAATCATTGTGTTTTGGAAAAAATGTATCAAAATAGCCAATTAAATATAATGAAAAATAAGCCTCTCTCATATTATACAATTATTCGAAAATGCAGTATTAAAAACAATAAAATGGTACAATTAGTACGATTAGAAAAATATTGATTTAAAAAACTGGTTTGGGTTCACATACATTTCACATTTAAATAATAAGAAATGGTTGCTTTTCAAAAAATATTACATTTATATTATCTAATTATAACTAATTTAATATTAAAAACTTAAATCTCGCATATTAAATTATTATTTTGAATTCTAACTATTATCTATTTTATAATTTATTAAATTAGTACTAATTTTGTGAAAAGTATTTAGCTTTAAAAACTGAAAATTATTATACTACGTTAGTATGGCCGCCTTTTAATCATTATCAGTGGCTTTTTGCCAGGAGTGTGCAGTTCAGTAATATAATCTATGCCAGAATGTAGTTTTTGAAAAATTCCTACATCATTTGTATACACATGTTCTATATTAACAAATATGACGAATTTTAAAAAATTAAGAAAATTTTATAGATATAATAAAATTTTTGAATTAAAAATTAATTAACATCGTCATAAAATCGTTGATATATTTAATCTTGAAAGTCATAGTGAAAAGAAAATTTATTAATATGTATAACAAATTGAAATATATAAAAGTATATGGTAAGTAACAAAAAGTAAAAAGAATGGAATCATGATATCATATAACAAGTTATAATGCAATCACTATTAAAGATATTAAAATAATCCTCTTCAATATAAAATTGCAGTTCGAAAAATAAATTCATATTTGGATACCGAGCTATTTTTATTAATGCTATGATATAAATTTTGACTGTATAATAATTTTATATTTAAAATTTTTTAACGATAGAGGAAGAAAAAGAGAAATGAACCTTCTAGTTGCTTCTTGTAAGGAAATTCCCAAAAAGAACCATCGGGCAAAATGACTGCCGAACTTCAGAATATGTTTTTGAAGAAGCTCTAGTAAAGATAAATATAATCGAAAAATTATAAATTTTATAAATAAATTAATGTTAGATTCTTTAAAAATAACATAAGCATAAAATATTTTATGCTAAATGTTGTTAAATATAACTAATGAAATAGTAATTAATATAATTATTTAGAATAATTTAATAAGTCAAAAAAATATTATTGTATAGAAATTATTGAAATTGAAAATTCCAAGATAAATTTCTGAAATCGCCAAATAAAATTGTTGAAAAAAGGTAAATTGAATTTAAAAATATGAGAGTATTAGAAAATATATTCCTATGACATAATAAAATTAAAGAGTAAACACTCAAAAACTTCAAAACACTAAAAAATGTTTATGCTTTCTCACATAGGTTAAAAGATTAAAATCACTAAATAAAGTTAACGGGCAGAAAATAAAATATTTGATTGAAAATAACGAAAAAATTTAAAAAATAGTATTTTTCCGTTTGTAAGAACTTATTAATATGAAAATATTCGAAATATCTATAAAATAGCTAAGTAAACAATTCAATTCCTACTGCAATTCAATTCCTGCTTAAAAGCAAATTCGAAATAATATATGTATAGTTTACAGCATGTATAAAAAATTCGATTTCATACTTAATTATTAAAGTTAATATTTTGATTATTAAAGTTAAATTTTAATAAACTTTTATTAATCTATCTGATGAGCTATCTAGTTATTAGTAAAATTCGAATATCCAAATAGCTTAAAAGATAAATTTATAATATGAGATGTTATTATTATAATTATTATACATACATTTTAGATTTATGCACATATTATTATTATTTAAAAATTTATTTAAAAAATATTCTATAATTTTAGTATAAGAAAATGGAATAAAATGAAAGAAATTGATGAGTTGTGCTCGAAGTCAAAGCGACATATGTTATGAAAGATTTGCAAGTACAAATTTTACGTTAAATATTAATTTAAGCAAATTCGAAGACAATAATTAATATTTGCACTGAAAGTTTTAGTTTTTTATCATACTAAATATTCTAAAAAATTTTTTAGGAATTTGTAAAATTATACTTATATTCTCTGTCCCTATGTAATGTTAGCGTTGTTAAACGGCTCATTCAAACATTTTCATACTCTTTATTAAACCATAACTTATCTCTCTTTCCCCAATTCCATTGAAAATATTAATGGCATTTATTGAAAACTTGTAAAATTTTTACAAAATTTTATTAAAAAATCTGTCTATCTTTGGTATAAAAATAATGAAAAAATAAGATGTTGTATTTAAATACACCACAAGATGTTTTATTTAAAAATTAAAAAAACTCTATGTTCATTAATTTAAATATAAAAAATAATTTGTACATAACTAAGCTAAAATATTTATGCTAAAATATTTTAATAGGCTAAAAAATTTAAAAGATACTATATTATTTAGCGAAATTTAAATAAATAATATGCAAATAAGAATTGTGAGTAAGGTAGCATATTTATTTGAAAAATTGTCCATTAATAAGAACATTTTAGATTAATTTAGAATAGTAATCACATAGGCTGAATGGGTTTTTGAAAATTATACTTTTTCACAATCGATGCAATTTGCATAGAACGTCAAAATTCAAAACAAAATTATATGCCTTTCTGCTCTTATCTTTTAGTGTTCGGCAGCTCTTAAAAGATCCTGTTTTAAGTGGAAACAGGTAAAAATATATAGGAGTAAAACAAATTCATTATTAAAAATTAAGTATATTTTAAATATTTAAAATTTATAAACAGAGTTTTTGATAAATAAATATAGATTTAAAGCAAAAAATAGTAATAGCTTTTTTTCTTAAAACTGCTGTGTGTTTAGTCATTAAAATTGGAAAATTAATATAAAAAATATATAATATAATCTATAAGAATAAAAAGAATTTATATTGCAATAGTATTTGGATGAAAATCATTTAGTTAATTAATTCAATATAAAAATAAAGATACATTTTAATTGACATTTATTATAATTCAATTAAATAAATTGGAAGAATTGTTCTAAATAAACTATTTTGTTTAATTATATAATAGCTAACTGATATTTGAAGTTAGGATACTGTATAAAATGCCTTCTCTTAATTTAAAATTGAATTTAATGTTTTTATCACGCTTTTAAAAAGCTATATATAGCTCAATAGCTTTTGTACTAGACAATGAAGAAAAGCAAAAAAGAATAAAATAAGCACGCATAGCTATGTATAAAAATTAGAAAAAATTGATAAATTTTTATCTCAATAAATTTTGTCAAAAAAATTTAATAATATTTAATAAATAAATGTTGAATTTTTAAATTTTTGATAGCCTCCATTCAATAAATAAAAATAAATGATATCAAAATATCTTTACTTTCTTGAACATTCAATATAATTAATAAAATTAATAAACATTTATCAGCCATGCTACAGGTGATGAATATTTTGTGGAGGCAATTCTAGATAAGAAAGCTGGAACAAATATGATTTATATTTGGTTATTTTTTTTAATTTAAAAAGATTCGAAATAGCTGGAGCCTGGGAGCCAACAAGAGCTCTAAGACATTTCTATGTTTTTAAAGAATTTTAAAACAAAAGATGGAGGATTATATCTGGGACGAACTGAGCAGATGGACCGGGTGTCAGAGCGTGCACGTTTTAATATGTACGAAATGGTAATTTTTCATTTAATATAATAAAAACCTTAAAAATCTAGTTGTCTTTGGATGGTTATACAAAAAATCCATAATTAAATTATAAATAAATAGATTATATTTTTAGTAAAAATAATTCAATACTAAAGTGATATTTAATACAAAAAATTTTAACAATTTTAATAGTAAAATTTTTAAATTTAAATAAACAAATTGTAATTTTTTAACAATATTAAACTTTAAAATGTTTGAAAAGTAACTTTATAAAATTTTTATTGCTCTATAACAGAGTTTCCGCTGGTACAAAAAATCTTCGGGTACGAGTTTCGTGTATCGGGTTGGAGCTTTTCATTTCGGGTCACGGGTTTCGGGTTGGCAAAAATTTCGGGCACGGGTTTCAGGTTTGGCGAAAAATTCGGGTATTGGTGAACTAAATTGTAAGGTAACAAGCTATGTTACATAAAAGGATTTTGATTAAAATAGAGAGAGGCAAATTTGAAGAGATTAAAGAGACATTGTGGCATTTGGGGATTAAGAGGGATATCTTGATAAAATCCCACTATATATTTTTTTCTTTCTCCCGACGTTCACTTTCTTCTTTTTAATGTTATTTTAATGCAAATATTAAAAAAGAGCTTCCGCTTATAATATTTAAAAATTCAGCGAACAGCATGTTTTAAAAAATAAAAAAAATTTTTTTAAATATGTTAAAAATTTTTTAAATTTAAACAGATGTAAAGTTAAATTAAAATTTTTAGCTATAGAATGTATTATATAAAAGAATCAAAATTATTGATTATTTATTTAAATACAAAAATTATTTATTTTTTATTTAGATAATTAAACAAATTAGAGAATTTAAATTAGAAAAATTTAATTATTTATTTAAATCAATTTATGAAATTATTAAAGAATAAATTTGATAATTAATTTTTATTATTTAATTAATACAATCTTTACTACTATAGATATTTTTTAATATTTACATATAGATATTTTAATATGGATATTTTGTCATCATAATTTTAATTAACGGAAACAAAAGTAACAACACTCAATTCTGGAAGTAAATAATTAAAACTTTCATTTTTAACTAAAATCTTTGTTCCATTTATCATATTTTTATTTGTAGCAGTAATAATAGGAGTAAATGCTTTAATTCCTTTAATAGAAAATTGTTGATTTTTATCAGGCCATCCAATATTAATTGCAACAATTATAACTTTTCCTTTTCCTTTATATGCACTAACATAAATATTTGTTGTTGGATTTTCAGTAGCATTAATTCTAAAATATCCTGGTCTTATATATTTTGCATATTGTCCTAATATATATCCTCTTGATGTTATTTCATAATTATTATCAATAATTGAAACATATTTTGGATCTTTAAACCAAAAATAAACATAAGCATTATAATTTGCTATAGTCATGCAATCATGTATATCTTTTGCTGTTTCCATAAAACTTTTCCAATCATTTCCATCATTTGTCTTTTCTGTCATCCAAGCTGATTTTCCCATTTTTTGAGCTTTTGTTTGTGATACTAGTTGCATTCCATACATATGCCAAGCTATTATATCAACTCCTTTAGCTACATCAGGATCATTCTAATAAAGATATTAATTATTTAAAAATAAGTAAGAGCTCGTGTTGGGCCTATAATAAGATGGAATGTTATAGGAATATAGGATTTTGTCCATTAGACTAAATATAATAGCGTGGTACCCAAGAGGCAATTCATGCTGTTCGAGTACGCAGTAGAGTATAGAACATATTATGTAGAATTATATATTATTTTAATGTTATGCTGCAGGCTTATAAACTTGACTAACTTATCTTAACTGAATGCAACTAATCCCTTTCCAATAACTTGCTTAAGATTATAACTAACTAGTCTTTATTGTTTTATTTTTTTCTCCACCCCGTATTCCATCATAAACATAACGTGATCGATAAACTCCTTAAAAATAAATTTACCAAAATAGCATCATTATATTCAGGTATAAAATGAGCACATTCGGGTGCCATAATTTTCGGTCCTTTAATTTTTCTAGAATACGATTTTAAAAAAGCTGCAATTTGTTTTGGTGACCATTTAATTGATACATATGATGGTGAAAAATCAGGTTCACTTTGTAATGATATTGCATATAAATTAACTCCAACTTTATTTAATTCATCAACAGCAGATTGTAAATATTCAACATAATCATTATACCGTATTTCCTCAAATAGTACGGCCCCCTCAATTAGTACGGCCCCCTCTATTAGTACGGCCCTTTAGATGAGGGTTGAAAAATAGTACGGCCCCCTCAATTAGTACGGCCCCCCAAATAGTACGGCCCCCATTTAAAAATATAAAAAATATTACAAAATTTGCTCTTCGAATTATAGTAACAATCCTCATCTTTATAATTAAATATCTGACCGCTTAATCCTCCCAGATCCCTCCATTTGTCAATAAAATACTCTTAATCTCTCATAATCTCCACAAATCCTTGGGTTATTAAGCATTTAAGCAAGATACTAAGTCGAGGGTCCTCTATCGAATGGTACCAAAAAATATATCAAATTCGCACTTACAGTAAACAATGTTCCCTTGTGAGTACAGTGGCTATATCTGAGACGCCACTCTGGGTCCTACATCTCTGGGTCCTACCATACAAAAAAGTGACTCTATTGGATTTTTTATAATTCGGTCATATTTTGAACTTTTAAGATTCAAATCTACTTTCCCACAAGAAATCCCTCATAATCAGCATATATCCCTCATAATTCCTATAAATATCGAATACCCCAGATATCCTAATATTCGTCCAAATCCTTGAATATTTCAGATATTCAATTAAATCTTCGGATATCCACTCAAATCACTCTTAATTCACCTAAATTCTCTTAATCCATATCAGTGTTTTGGAAGGATATCGAGGGAATTTGATGGATTAAGCTGGATTAGAAGAAATATCCGAGGATTTGGATGGATCTCAGGGAAATTCCCGATATCTCTCCTAAATCTCATCAAATCCATTGATAATTCATAACAACTAAGTGCATGAGTCTGGATTCTGGGATATTTTGGTATAGGAATAGAGAACGGAAGAAGATAAAAGAGGGTTAAATTTAACCGAATTGCAAAGATTACAAATTAAAAACTGAGATAAGGCTTGTTGGAGATCTCAGATAATTTCGAAGGATGGTTGAAATATAGTACGGCCCCCTCAATTAGTACGGCCCCCTCAAATAGTACGGCCCTTTAGAAGAGGGTTGAAAAATAGTACGGCCGGCCGTACTATTTGAGGAAATACGGTATTTATCTTCTTTAAGTTCCCCCATAACTTCATTATTATTTGTTTTAAATGATATTGGTGAAGTACTTGGTGAAGCAAAAATTTTAACTCCATATTTTGATGCTTTTTGTGCTGTTAATGCTTCTTGTCCAATACAACGATAATTACCCCATTTTTGATTTTTACATAAATCAACAATTCCAACACGTAAAATTGATAAACCAAGTTTTCCAAAAATATTTTCAATTCCTTTATCTGGTATGTTACCTAACCAAGCACTAGAACCACCAAAACCATCAATTAATTGATAAGTAATATTAGAATTTATTTTTGCTATATTATCACATTTTACAGAATAATAAAATAAAATTAAATTAAATAAAAAGAAAAAATTAAATAATTTCATTTTTTTAATTTATTTGAATTTTTTAATTGAATTAAATGAATATATCTGTCAATAATTTTATTTCTTTTATATAATACATTCTATAGCTAAAAATTTTAAATTTACATCTGTTCAAATTTAAAAAATTTTTATTATATTAAAAAAAATTTTTTTTAAACATGCTGTTCGCTGAAAATTGAAATTTTTAAATATTATAAGCGGAAGCTCTTTATTATATTTGCATTAAAATAACATTAAAAATTAATTTATAAAATAATTTATTAAACCTTTATTATTATAACACCTTTTAAAATATTTTTTAAAATATATTTTATTAAAAATTTTTTCAAATAAAATATTTTAATCTAACCAAACATTTATAAGTTATTTTATTTTTTTAATTGCGTAAAATATTATTTTCAAATTGTGACTTACCGTATTTACTAAAATAATTACTACGGGTAATAATTGTTTCAATCTATCGCTAGAAGGGATAATTATTAAGGAAGGAGTAACTATTTGAGAGAGGGCAATTATTTTAGTATATATGCTAATTATTTAATATTAATTTAATTAAACATTTAATACAGTCGTGGAAAAAAGTATGGAAGCGCTAAAAAATTTTTATTTAATTCTTAATTTTTTATTCAAAAAATACGTTCTATATACCTTCGAAAGCTCTATTCGTATCTCAGTTGACATGTTTCTGCATTTTTCATGAAAATAAAAATTGGTCGAGATAATCCTGATCTACCGGATATAACAAATCCCACTTTTTCGGAAAAATTTTTCGGAACAAATTTAACAAACCCATTTGATAAAGCATATTTTTCTGAGTATTTTTCAAAAACCGCTTAGAAATATCTTTTTCCGGACCAGAGATATGATTTTTTGAAAATCGCATTTTTCGTCTATTTTTGCAAAAAATTCCATTTTTAAAGGAAAAATGCCATTTTTAAAAATTCATATCTCCGATCCGGAGAAAGGTATTTCTAAGCGGTTTTGTAGAAAATACTCAGAAAAATATGCTTTATCATATGGGTTTGTTAAATTTCTTCCGAAAAATTTTTCCGAGATTATGGGATTTGGTATATCCGGTAGATCCGGATTATCTCGGCCAATTTTCAATTTTATAAAAAATGCAGAAAATGTCAACTGAGATACGAATAGAGCTTTCAATTGCTATATAGAATGTATTTTTTAAATGAAAAATTAAGAATTAAATAAAATTTTTCTAGTGCTTCCATACTTTTTTCCACGACTGTAAGTGATGATTAATAATAAATCGCTACGATAAGCGATACAACAAATTAAATATAAGATAAAAATAAGCATGAAATTCGCAATATAGTATATACGTATTTAGGGAACAGTAATATACCGTATTTTCTCTAATTGAGCGGCCGAATCTAGTTGAACGGCCGTATCCAATAGAGCGGCCTTTTGAGATGGGATTGGAAAATAGAGCGGCCGTCTCCAGTTGAACGGCCGTATCCTATAGAGCGGCCCTCTACTCTAGTTGAGGGGGACTCTCTAGTTGGTGGATCTGGAGGATATCTGGATATCAAATATTTGTAAAACAATTTGGAGATGGCATACTAAATTTTAAGTATAGTCAATGGATTCCATATCTTCTCCAAATTCTTTTAATTGGTGAAGTATCTTCCCCATATTATCTTGATATCCTCTTAATCCCCAATCCAAGGTGGCCCGTTCCAAAACACTAAAATAAGGCGCTGCAACTCAAAAATAGGGCAAAAATAGGGCGAAATCGGGCAAAAATAGGGCAAAAATTAGGGTAAGCTTCAAAAGCTTAAGCATAATTAAAATTTCAAATAAGGCGAAAATTTTGAGAAATTTGGATGGCCAAGAAGCCAAATTTCTTCCATTTTTAGAAATGGAAGAAGCCAAATTCTTCCATCAACTCACCCTTAATCCCGGTAATTTCCTAGGTATCACTCTAATTATTCCCCAAATCACTCAGATCTCTCACAACTTCGAAAAATCTGGATTCATGTTCAAATTTTTAACTGATCCGACCCGAAACCCGACCGAAGACCCGGAATTTTTTCGACCCGAAACCCGTCCCGAGAAAAATTTTGAGATTGATTTGATTCATGATAAGAAGGGTATTTTAACAGTTGATTCTTTGGAATTTTGATTTTGTTTACGGATCCATTAGAGCGGCCCTTTAGAGGGGATTGAAAAATAGAGCGGCCGGCCGCTCATTAGAGAAAATAAGGTATTCAGACATGTGGAAAGCGTACAACATTATATTTAAATAACTAAATATTCAAACAACTAAATTCAATAAAAATATAAAAATGATATAAATTAATTTTGCAAATTTTTTTAATATATTAAAAGATATTATGTAGTAGATATATTTACTTATAATTACCTGATTCTAATCTTATTTTTTTTAATTTTGATTTTTAATTTTAATTATTTCATACTCATTAAACGTAAGAAATAAGCATTATATATATATATATTAGAAATATTAACAGCAGGCGCCACGTGTAACCAGAAAAATTGAAGTTTTGGTTTAATAAATTATAATATTTTTTAGAAATGAAAAAAAATTTTTCAAGTAATTAGTTTAAATAAAAAATATGCCCAGCAAAGTTAATTCCTTCAAACTCTGCCAAGATGCTATAATTAAAAAGTGAAATTAAAAAATCTAAATTGAAAAATAATTTAAAATAAATAATTGGATAATTAACAAAGGTATATTATTTTTCAAAGCAATCATTGACTCGCTCATTTATTATGAAGTGACAACTCGTGTTCATGTTATATATCTATAATAACAACGCCAGGTAAAAACCCTAAAACGATGCCTTTCTCTCCGCACTACTATCTAGGAGCTTGATAGCGTAAGTAAATTTATTACTTTAGTTAAATTTTCATAAAATTTTATAAATTATTGACTAAGTCCATGAATTTTATCGACTAAGTCCATAAATTTTATGAAAACTTAACTAAAGTCCACTCACTAGATGGGATACTTATTAAAATTAAAAAATATATATCCGAATATTTGATAAATTGGGTTTTTAAAAAATCATTTTAATTGATTTTTAAATTCCATAAGTTTTACTAAAATAAATTTATTTGAATTTTTTAATTGAATTAAATGAATATATCTGTCAATAATTTTATTTCTTTTATATAATACATTCTATAGCTAAAAATTTTAAATTTACATCTGTTCAAATTTAAAAAATTTTTATTATATTAAAAAAAATTTTTTTTAAACATGCTGTTCGCTGAAAATTGAAATTTTTAAATATTATAAGCGGAAGCTCTTTATTATATTTGCATTAAAATAACATTAAAAATTAATTTATAAAATAATTTATTAAACCTTTATTATTATAACACCTTTTAAAATATTTTTTAAAATATATTTTATTAAAAATTTTTTCAAATAAAATATTTTAATCTAACCAAACATTTATAAGTTATTTTATTTTTTTAATTGCGTAAAATATTATTTTCAAATTGTGACTTACCGTATTTACTAAAATAATTACTACGGGTAATAATTGTTTCAATCTATCGCTAGAAGGGATAATTATTAAGGAAGGAGTAACTATTTGAGAGAGGGCAATTATTTTAGTATATATGCTAATTATTTAATATTAATTTAATTAAACATTTAATACAGTCGTGGAAAAAAGTATGGAAGCGCTAAAAAATTTTTATTTAATTCTTAATTTTTTATTCAAAAAATACGTTCTATATACCTTCGAAAGCTCTATTCGTATCTTAGTTGACATGTTTCTGCATTTTTCATGAAAATAAAAATTGGTCGAGATAATCCTGATCTACCGGATATAACAAATCCCACTTTTTCGGAAAAATTTTTCGGAACAAATTTAACAAACCCATTTGATAAAGCATATTTTTCTGAGTATTTTTCAAAAACCGCTTAGAAATATCTTTTTCCGGACCAGAGATATGATTTTTTGAAAATCGCATTTTTCGTCTATTTTTGCAAAAAATTCCATTTTTAAAGGAAAAATGCCATTTTTAAAAATTCATATCTCCGATCCGGAGAAAGGTATTTCTAAGCGGTTTTGTAGAAAATACTCAGAAAAATATGCTTTATCATATGGGTTTGTTAAATTTCTTCCGAAAAATTTTTCCGAGATTATGGGATTTGGTATATCCGGTAGATCCGGATTATCTCGGCCAATTTTCAATTTTATAAAAAATGCAGAAAATGTAAACTGAGATACGAATAGAGCTTTCAATTGCTATATAGAATGTATTTTTTAAATGAAAAATTAAGAATTAAATAAAATTTTTCTAGTGCTTCCATACTTTTTTCCACGACTGTAAGTGATGATTAATAATAAATCGCTACGATAAGCGATACAACAAATTAAATATAAGATAAAAATAAGCATGAAATTCGCAATATAGTATATACGTATTTAGGGAACAGTAATATACCGTATTTTCTCTAATTGAGCGGCCGAATCTAGTTGAACGGCCGTATCCAATAGAGCGGCCTTTTGAGATGGGATTGGAAAATAGAGCGGCCGTCTCCAGTTGAACGGCCGTATCCTATAGAGCGGCCCTCTACTCTAGTTGAGGGGGACTCTCTAGTTGGTGGATCTGGAGGATATCTGGATATCAAATATTTGTAAAACAATTTGGAGATGGCATACTAAATTTTAAGTATAGTCAATGGATTCCATATCTTCTCCAAATTCTTTTAATTGGTGAAGTATCTTCCCCATATTATCTTGATATCCTCTTAATCCCCAATCCAAGGTGGCCCGTTCCAAAACACTAAAATAAGGCGCTGCAACTCAAAAATAGGGCAAAAATAGGGCGAAATCGGGCAAAAATAGGGCAAAAATTAGGGTAAGCTTCAAAAGCTTAAGCATAATTAAAATTTCAAATAAGGCGAAAATTTTGAGAAATTTGGATGGCCAAGAAGCCAAATTTCTTCCATTTTTAGAAATGGAAGAAGCCAAATTCTTCCATCAACTCACCCTTAATCC